GCAAAGATCCAAGGGACACCCCCATCCAGCCTGACCGATGCTGCTAGTTCCCTAGTTCTGCTTGTTACTGGCTGCCGTGACCTCTCTTCATCAGTGACACTTCTCCCCTCAGAAAACCCACCGGTACACTGCTGTTTTCTTCATGGCATTATCCCCATAAACTCGGACTAACATGTTCCTGATTTCACTTCCATTCTTGCCAAGTTTAACAAGAAATGTAATGTTGGTTCATTGCTCTAATTCAAGCTCCAGTGTTCTCAAGACGGCACACAAAGCATGCAACAGCAATAATGAACGACACTCAGCAAGATACCACCACATATGAGACAGTGGAACTCCAAGCTTCTGAAACCTTACTAAGTATTTTTTTTTGTTTTTTTGATATTTTTTCTTGAGACAGAGTCTCCGGCTGTTGCCCTGGGCAGAGTGCCATGGCCTCATAGCTCACAGCAACCTCTTGACTCTTGATCTTAAGCGATCTTCTTGCCTCAGTTTTTCTATTTTTAGTAGAGACAGGGTCTTGCTTTTATTTTTATTCATTTATAGACAGAGTCGCTATGTTGCCCTTGCTAGAGTGAAGTGGCATCATAGATCACAGCAACCTCAAACTCTTGGGCTTAAGCAATTCTCTTGTCTCAGCCTCCCAAGTAGCTGGACCACAGGTGTGTGCCACAATGCCCGGCTATTTTCTTGGTTGCAGTTGTCGTTGTTTAGCTGACCTGGGCTGGGGTGAACCCTTGGTGTATGTGGCCCAGAGCCCCACTCACTGAGCTACAGGTGCTGCCCAGGGTCTTGCTTTTTTTAACTCGTGAGCTCAAGCAATCCACCGCCTCAGCCTCCCAGAGTGCTAGGATTATAGGCGTGAGCTACCACACTCGGCTGAATCCTTACAAAATTGTGAAGTGCTGCCATTGTAAGCGCCTGGCAAGTTCACAAACTTAATTGTCAGACCTCGTGGAGTAAAAAAGGACATAATCCCAACCTTCAAGGAACACACGGTTTCATTGCACAGGGAAACCTGCCCCAAGTAACAGAACATAAGGGAGAGAGTGGCGAGGGAGAATTTTTTTTTTTTTTTTTTTTGAGACAGAGCCTCAAGCTGTCCCCCTGGGTAGAGTGCCATGGCATTACAGCTCACAGCAACCTCCAA